GCAGGCGGGCGGCAGCCAGGCGGGCAGCCAGGTCGGGGCGCGCGCGTGCAAAGATGGGGTCGCAGGCCCAGGGCCCCAGCACCCCGATGGTGAACACGGACGAGCTGGCTGGGGGCAGCAGCAAGAGCAGCAGGAGGAACGGGAGCCTACCCAGGGCCCCGGGGCAGAGCCCCCAGTCCCAAAGCCCACCCGCCGCGTGGTTGCTGGTGGTCATGGCCAGCATCCGTGAGCCCAGACCCCGGAGCTCCCACTTCCCGGATTAACCTGTGTGCTGTCTTCACTTCCACAGCCCCCACCGCAGGCTTAGAAGAGTGGAGTGGGATCAAAGGCTCGGCCTGGAAGCCCCCTCCTGCTTCCTGCCCTCGCGTTCTTTACTTTCTCTTCTCCGTGGTCAGAGCCATCCAGGGTCGGAAGGGACACGTCCATGCCCTCCTCTGATCTGTCCTGGCAGGCTGGATCCGGGTCCAGGGAGAGGGGCTTTGCTACTCACAGGAAAGTCTGAGAATGGGGCCCCCGGGGCTGGGGTGAGGGGTCAAAGGTGGGGGCCCCCTTCTGACGCCTGCCCAAAGATATCCTCTGCCAGCCCGGCACAGGGCGGGGGTGTGGGAACAGCCGGCCAGAGCCCTTAATCTCCCCAAGCTGCTTAGGGTCCCTAATCAGTCCAGGAGGGGCTGGCGCAGGACAGTAGCCTGGACAATGAGATCTATCCTGGGGAGCAGGTAGCCAGGCTGGCCCTTCCCTTCCATCCTTACATCTCCCAGCACCAAAGAAGTTGCACACCCACTTAACCGGGCCCTGCCACAAGTTGTACCCATTGGATCAGGTGATCCTTCCAACCACTGTTTCCAGTTCTACCATCCAAGCCCATCCTTTGGATGAAAAGTCTATTTCCCAGAGACTCTGCCCATATTTGATTCTGTCCATGTCCATTTTTCCATCCCTAGAAAACCATCCCTCTGGCATTCTTGGGAGAAGGCAATAATATAGGAAGAGCTCTGGCTTCCCACAGAACAGGGTTGAAATTCCTCCTTACTGGCTTTCTGACTTTGGGAAAGTGGCTTGCTTTCTCAAAGTGTTGTTCTGAAAATTGCCTTTGACAATGAGAACAATTCACTGACAGCAAGACTAGCTAAGACAATTAAAGAAGACTAAGGTAGAAAGTGGTGTTGGAAGAGAGTACTGAATATTCCATGCACTACCAAAAGAACAAACAAATATATCTTGGAAAAGGTGTAACCAGAGAGCTTCTTGGAGGCAAAGATGATGAAGCTTTGTCTCTCATACTTTGGGCGTGTTTCTAGGCGAGGTTATCACTTGGAAAGGTGCAGCTTGCTTGGAAAGGTGGAGGGTATTCAAAAGAGAGGAAGACCTCCCAAAGAGGTAGATGGACAAGGAGACTGCAGCAGTAGGTTCAAGTGTGTCAGAGATGGTGAGGATGGCACAAGATAGAACAGGGTTCAAGTCTGTTGTTCATAGGGTGGTATGAGTTGACTCCCTGGCTCCTACAAGACAGTAGAGAGACAGGGAGCTCTGGTGACTTAATGTTGCAATCCCAAAGGCAGACAGTTCGAATCCATCAGCTGCTCTGTGGGAAAAGGATGTGCAGTCTCCTCCTGTGCTATTTACTCCCTTTTAAAACTTGCTGGATTTTCAGATTCTATGAGTTGGTTCCAACTGAGGGCACACAACAACAAGGTAAAAAGAAGGCTTGCCCTACCAAACACCAAAATCTATTAGGAAGCAATAGAAACTGAAGCACTATGGTGTGGGCACAGAGAAGAGCAAATCTCTCACTAGGACAGAGAAGAGGGCACTGAAATAAACCCAGTAAAAATGGAAAGGTAATGTCTGAGAAATCAGGCATTTCTCGTTAGTAGGAAAAGAATGAGCTTGGTAAGTAGAGGTGATTAAGTTTGAGGTGTTGAACACTAATGATCAGATAAGCAGATGGATTGTGCAGTGACAGCAAAAATATCATCCAGGAAGAGAGCAAAAGGTTGTTACAAAGACAGAGGAGAAGATAAAAATAGATGTCAGAAGAGCCTGAAGATTGCACTAGAGCATCCAAAAGCCAAAACAAAGGGAAGTGACACCAAATTAAAGATATGAACAGAAGATTTTAAAAGGCAGCACAAGAAGACAAAGCAAAGTCTTATAATGAAATGAGCAAAGAGCTGGAGTTGGAGAATAAAGTGGAAAGAATTCACTCAGCATTTCTCATGCTGAAAGAATTAAAAAACAAATTCAAGTCTTAAGTTGCAACACAGAGAGATAGCTTGGGCAAAATCTCAAATGTTTCAGCAACCATCAAAAGAAGATGGAAGAAATACATGGTATCATTTTAATGAAAAAGAATTGCCTGACATTGAAATATTTCAAGAAGTTCCATATCATCAGGAGCCAATAGAGATGAAGGAAGAAGTTCAAACTGCATTGAAGACATGAGCAAAATATAAGGCCCCATGAATCAATGGGATACCAATTGACATGTTTCAAGTAACAGATGCAGCCCTGGACATACTCACCAGTCTGTGTCAGAAAATTTGGAAGACAGCTACTTAGTCAACTGACTGGAAGAGATCATATTTATTTCCATTCCCAAGAAAAGATCCAACAGAATGTGGAAATTATCAAACAATATCATAAAAATCACATAAAAGCAAAATATTGCTGAAGATCATGTAAAAATTGGCTTGAGTAGTGCATTGACCAAGAACTGCCAAAAGTTCAAAGTAGGTTTTGAAGAGGCCATGGCACCAAGGATGCCACTGCTGAATATGAGCTGGATCTTGATTGAAAGCAGAAAGTACCACAAGAGTATATATTTGTGTTTTATTGACTCTTGTTGTTAAGTGCCATCGAGTCGTAGACGACTCATTGCAACCCTATGAATGAAAGACCTGAACACTTGTATAACTTTGGTCATTTTTCCATGTTCATAGAGTTTCCGGAGGCAAGCCGTTTCGGAAGTGGATGCCAACTCCTGCTTCTAAGTTTGTTTTAATCAGGAAGCTCCACCAAACATTGTCCACCATGGGTAACCATTATCGCATTTGGCACATCAGTGTCACAATATTTAGCTTCACAGCAACCACGAGTTACCTCTGTACAGCAATGCACAGGCCAGTGCTATACCACCTAGAAGAATGTTTGACAAAAACAATTTATATAATTTTTGTCTTCTATTTTTATTGACTATGCAAAGATTTATTTGACTGTGTGAATCATAGCAAACTATGGCTAACATTAGAAATCCCAGAATTCCCAGAATACTGACTTGTGCTCCTACAAAAAGTATACCTAGATCAAGAAGCTGTGTCCAAATGAGCAAGTAAAAAACTGCAAGATTTAAAATCAAGAAAGATGTGCATCAAAGCTATATCATATTTTAATTTTATACTGGGCAAATCATTCGAGAGGCTGGACTTTATGAAGACGATGTGTGATCAAGATGGAAGATTCATCAACAACCTGCAATGTGCAGATGACACAACTTTGCTTGCTCAAAGCAAGGAGAACCTAAAGTGCTTGCTGCAGATGATCAAGGACTAGAGCCTTCAATCTGGATTGCATCTCAACATCAAGAAGACAAAAATCTTCACCACTGAACTGATAAGCGACATCATGATAAATGGAGAATGTATTGAAATTGTCAACAATTTTGTTATACTTGGACCCACCCTTGATACAAGCAGTCAAGAAATCAAAATATATTGGGAAAAGAATGGGGAAAGAGTGGATAAATAATGAACATGGCAATAGAACAGATGAGGGGAAGAAATGTCCGAAAGGAATATATGATTCAATGTTAATGTATGACAACAATCTGGAACAAGGTGTACATTTCAGAGTGAGCTATGGGGAGAAGGGTGGAGGGGGAAGAAAATGTGCAACAATTTTTTAAAAAGAAATAAAAAATATATTGCATTGAGAAAGTCTGCTGTCAAGGGCTTCTCCAAGATATTAAGAAGCAGTGATAGCAGTTTAAAGTTAACCTGACTCAAGCCATTGTCTTTTGAATCATTTGCTATGTATTTAAGTGTTAGATAATTAATTAGGATGGCAGAAGAGTTGATGTCTTTGAGTTGTGGTATGAGAGAAGAATACTAAATATCCCATGGACTACAGAAGAATACACGAATATCCCATTGCAACTCTATGAAGATAAATGTGGCATCAGGATTGGAGGGAGACTCATCAATAACCTGTGTTATGCAGATGACACAACTTTGCTTGCTGAAAGTGAGGAAAACTTGAAGAGCTTGTTGCAGAAGATCAAGGAATGCAGCCTTCAGTATGGATTGCATTTCAATGTCAAGAAAATAAAAATTCTTAACACCGGACCAATAAACAACATCATGATGGATGGAGAAAAGATTGAAATTGTCAATAACTTCACCTTACTTGGATCCACAACTAACACCCTTGCTACCAGAAGTCAGGATATAAAGTGTATTGCACTGGAAGAGTCTGCAGTTAGGGACCTTTCCAAGTTATTGAGGAGTAATGTCAGTTTGAGGACTAAGGTGCATCTGATTCAGGCCATGGTCTTTCTGATCACTTGCTATGCATCTGAGAACTGGACAATGAGTAGGGATGACAGAAGAAGAATTGACGCCTTTGAGCTGTGGTATTGGAGAAGAGTAGTGAACATCCCATGTATGGCCAAAAGAACAAACAAATAATCTTAGAGAGGGTGCAGCCAGAGTACTCTTTGGAGGCAGGAATGATGACGCTTCGGTTCACATAAGTCAAACATGTTGCTAGGACAGGCTATTCCTTGCAGAGGGACTTAATGCTTGGAAGGATGGTGGGTCGTTGAAGGAGAGGAAGACCCTCGAGCTAGTGGATTTGCATGATGACTGCCACAAAGGGTCTAGTGTCTCAGGAAGTGTGAAAGTGGCACAGGATAGGACAGGGTTCAGAGCTTTTGTTCATAGGGTCGCTATGAGTTGTACTTAATAGTACCTAACAACAACAACAACATGAAATATCTAAAGAACAAATAAATTTATCTTGGAGAAAGTGCAAGGATGGTAAAATTTCATCTCACATACTTTGGATGTATTGCTAAGAGGGGACAATCCTTGGAAAGGTGGAAGGTCAGTGAAAAAGCCCTTCAAATAAATGGATAGACATACTGCAGCAATGGCCTCGAGCCATTGTTCATACGGTCGCTATGATTCATATACAACTTGGCAACAGAGAATTAAC